AGCAAGGGCACATGAAGTGGGGGTGGGTGCTGATTACACACAACACTGTGCGAGCCATGTGCTCCTCTGCATCCAATCAAAGTACTGCTACAGTTCCATCCATACCCCCACAAAGTCTAGGCACGTAAGTGCAGTGAGCAAAACTACGCTATCACGGGAGACTGTTCTTGGTTATGACAATTTTGCTGCCCACTGAGATGAAGGAGGCCACTCATGTGACCCACTCACTAGCCTAGATTGCCCGTCACTGAACTAGCACATCTCTTTTGGAAAATCATCCACACTTGATTTAAAAATTGCCAGTGATGAAGAATCTACCACGGCCCTTGGTGTGTCCCAGGGTTAATTATCCTCACTGTTGAAAATTTACACCTCAGAGCTTAATCTGCTTCCAAAACAATGTAAGAGAAACCAGATAAAGGGTCTCAGATACCAAAACCCAGCTGTGCACAAGGACTCCCACTGTTATATCTGGAGCAGTATGAATTCACCCCTTAGCTGAGATCAGATAACTTCCTGCAAACTGTTATAGCGGTGGGGGCTGTGTGGTTCATGGGGGTAGGTGCTGGGTCTAGTGTCCATCTGCTCTGGGAACAGGTGAGCGGTGCCCACAGCTGCCTCTGTTGCCACAACAGGAAATGATCCGTGTTCACCCTGCCAGAAAGGCTGGGGCAGCTGAGAACTGGCCAGGCCGCTCAGTGTCCACGCAGGGTGATTGGGCCAGAGGAGCTTTCTCACAACATCCCCCACAGCTGGCTCTGAGCGCCTTGGGTTACAGTCTCATATGAGGGCCAAGAGCAGACTGGGCCTTGGAGATGCAGCCCCTCCCACCCCCACAGCTGGTCTCACACACAAGTTTGGTACATGCATCATTGGCACATGCACTTTTGGCCAGACAAATGATTTTGGGAACCCAACTTGGGGCAATTTGAGGGGTGACAGACACTGAGCCCCACCTGCTGGAAATCAGCCCCTTTATGGTGGTTAAATGGGGCCCTAAGATCATTTTTTAAAGTCTTGGTCTCTGTGTTTTTCTGTCTGCATATACATCTGGGCTGTGTCTACACTGGGCCACTTATTCCGGAAAATCAGCCGCTTTTCCGGAATAAGCTGCGAGCTGTCTACACTGGCCCTTTAAATTTCCGGAAAAGCACTGACGATCTACTGTACGAAATCAGCTGCTTTTCCGGAAAAGCTATGCTGCTCCTGCTCGGGCAAAAGTCCTTTTTCCGGAAAACTGTTCCGGAAAAGGGCCAGTGTAGACAGCCCAGTAGTCTTTTCCGCAAAAAAGCCCCAATCGCGAAAATGACGATCGGGGCTTTTTTGCGGAAAAGCGCGTCTAGATTGGCATGGACACTTTTCCGGAAAAGCATCCTGCCAATGTAGACGTGCTTTTTCCGGAAATACTTATAACAGAAAACTGTTCCGTTTTAAGCATTTCCGGAAAATCATGCCAGTGTAGACATAGCCCTTCTGTCTATGCCTCTGGCCCCATACTGCATCCTCTAACTAGCTATCCATCTGATCCATCTATCTCTCTGTGCAGCTGGCTCCTTCTAGTCTCTGTTCAAGCACTAGCTTAGAGGGGTCATTTCTTCCCCCTTTGCAGCTGTGTCTCTGCCTCTTTCAGGGTCTGTGAGAGTGAGGCCGATGCAGGGTCTGTGCAGCAAGAACTCTCTGCAGATGCTTTGGCTTCACATATTAGCTGTGTGTGCAGCACTGACTGAGGTGGGGGTGAGAGGATTCCCCTCTTCACATCCTACTGTTCATGATCCCATCTTCAGCCTCCCATTCACCCGCCCATTGTGGGGATTTTCCATGTTCCTGTTGATTGGCTGAGCTGCAAACAGTGCACAGGTGTAATCCAAGGGTGCCAGCTGCTCAGCCTGAACCACAATCCTGGGGATTGCTCAGGAGCAAGGCCACCAAAGTGGTATGATCTAAAACTGACCATGTTTAAAAACTGAGAAATTCTGTCAAACTTCTTTTCCCAATGTTTCCATTTTTTCAAAGAAAAAATTAAAATGTTTTTGTTTTGCTTCTAAAAAAATAACAATTGGGAAATTAAAAACGTGATGAAAGTTTTTCAGAGAATATTTTTGAAAAGATTTCACATTTTGGATTCCATCTCCCTCTCTTTTTCCCATCTTCCCACCGAGAAAAGAGAAAAATGGGGAAAATGATAAAAACAAATAATTTTCAAGAAAGAATTTGAAAAAAAATGATTTACAAACAATGGCAAAAATATGTACCTCTTTTTCTCACTTCTGTCTTCTGGGCACTATGTCTAACAGATAGTTTCTAAGGCTACATCTACACTGCGGAGCTATTTCAGAATACCTCTGGTATCTGGAAATAGCTATTCTGCATTGGAGCAAGCCTGTTATATCAAAATATAATGTGCTCGCTATTCTGATGTCCCTTTAAATCTCATTGCATGAGAGTTAAGGGATATTCATAATAGCACCTCATTTTGACATTAAGGATGCCATGTAGGTGCATCCTAACTGTGCTCCACTGACCATCCTCTGTACATCTTAACTCCCACAACCATCTTCAAACATCTGAGCTCCCTCAAAACCTCTCCTGTCCAGCTGCTGTGCAGAGCTAACTCCATTCCAGAGGTGACATGTGCCCATCCTCTATCCCAGGATAATCCACTTCTGCATCAATTCTGCAAAATCGATCTCCAAAACCGCTGTGCCCTCTGCTCCTGACAGATTTCCCCTGAGGTCCTCAGCTGTTTGGCTTCCCACAAAGCTGTTAACTTCTACTCACAAGACTTTCCTTCTCTCTCACACATTTCTTCAGTTGTTTGCCCTGCTTCCCCCACTTGCTTAGTCAAAGATTCCAGCTCTCGCCTGCTCAGAGATCACTTCGGGATGCTGCCTCTCAACTGCCATCTGTGAGTGCCCTGGGCCTCTCCCTCAGCTGGGACTGTGGACCAGAATAGGGAGAAGGGACCTGGGACCTAAACCTCAGTGGGGACAGCAGACTCCTCAGAAGCCCAGAAGGCCGGGGCAGTCCGAGCAGGCTTTAGCCAGGGGCTGTCTCAGTCCCCAGGTGGTGAGATAGGATGGGTGGGGGGTATTTCCTCTGAGATACGTTTAGACTCAAACAAGCCAACCAGGCCCCTGGGTTCTCAATCCTCCAGCCCTAAACAGAGAGGCTGCGGTCACGGCAAGGAAGGGGGAAGGCGCAGGGGCAGGAAACAGGGACCAATGACGAGTATCACATGCAAGGAGGGGACAGAGAAGGTCAGAGAGAGGCTGCAGCATCTTTGCTGCCTGAGCCCTGCAGACCCAGGAGGCCTAAGAGCAGGGAGAGGGGCTGGCTGGAGCATCTAACCCCAGAGAGCAGACGGCGCAGGTTGGAGCCCAGAGACAGGACAGAGTTTCCGTTCTGCTGCGGTCAGACAGGGCAACGTGCACAGGTGGGAGTAGGGAGTGACTGCGGAGTCTCCCCACCAACCCCGTCTGGAGCAGACACCACTGTGTCATTTCCACCCGGATCGGTTCCCTTCACTTTCCCAATGCTCCTGTCTCTCTGCCTCTTGCTTCCTGGTGAGTCTCTGGGACCCTGCTGTGCAAATGCTTAGGAGGCTGGGAGGAAACAAAGCTGAGGGCATGTCTTCACTACGGGTTGGATCAATAGGCAGTGACTGAGTTAGAGGGTCGACTTATTGTGATAAATCAGCCACCAAGCACTCTCCTGCCAACTCTGGCCTTCCACCAGAAGAAGAGTAAGCAGAGCTGATGGGGGAACAGCACTGATGTCATTCATGGAGCTGCCATTGTGTAACTTAGGTCAATGGTCTGTGGCAATGGAAACAAGGCTGAGCAGAGCACCTGGCCAGGACTATGGAGGCAGAGAGAGAAAAGGGAGCCAGTGTAAACAGCACATGTGAGAGCTACTGGGCCAGAACACCGGCCGGTGTGAATAGGTGTTGCTCCACTAGAGACGATGAGGGCACATTCCCAGCTGGTGTAAATCAGTGTCGCCCCACTAGAAGTCAGTGCCAGTTTTACACCAACAGAGGATCTGACGCTCTAGCAAGCTCGAGGGAAAGGCAGCCTCAGGTCAGCCGAGATCTGTGTGTGCGAGGAGCCTGCCCTACCCCAGATCAAATGTCCTGCCTGGTTCACTTCTTTAGCAGCACACAGAGTGGGAAAGTATCGCCCTGTCTAGTACAGGCAGGCTTTGACCTTCAAGAGGGACCTCAGAAAAAGCACTGACCACACGTCCCCTTTCTGTTCCCAGCGCTGAGCCCCAGCAGCCAGGAGATCTGCTCAGCTCCCGGTGAGTCCAAATGTCTGTCTGTCTGTCCCCAGACACACTCATGCCTTGATAGAAAAGGCTTCCTGCCACAGAAGTTTATTATTCTTTATTATTGTTACAGAGGCCCCGAGATGCCCCTCTCAGGGATCAGGGCCCCATTGTGCCAAGTGACAAACCCCACTATGTGAGGCTCTGGTCCCTGCCCCCGCAGAGCTGACAGTCTCTGATCTGACATTATCTCCCCATTACCCAGCTGAGCTGCAGTAACAGCCTGCTCCAGAGCCAGGGCAGGGAGAGCCCCTCCTGCCCTGCGCCACGGAGCCGTGTCAGCACCTCGGAGCCACCCGCACTGTGCTCCATGCACGTGGGATTTACTTGCCTGGGATAATGCATCCCACACACGTTCACGTCTCACTCAGCACGGTCCCCGTTACACCCTCCTGCTCTCAGTCCCTTCCCGGAGCTCCCCGGCTCTGCTCCAGGGATTGTGGGTGGCTGCCAGTGACCTCGCAGGTGCCCAGGGGGATTATGGGAAGGGACCAAACTCTCCAGACTCCCACAATCCCCACAATAAACATCCCAGCTCCCCAGAGGTTATCCCATAACTCCTCCAGAGCCTGTGAACCACCTAATGACAGCGAACTTCCTTCAGCAAACCGCTCCCTGGGCTGCCCCTGAAACATGTTCCCTTCCCAGGGTCTCTCCCTGCCCCTATCCTCTACCTGAGTCTGACGTCCACTCAGGAGGGGGGCTCCATGCTGCTCCAGTGCTCCGTTATCTCTAAGGCTCTGGCCACCCGCATCATCTTCTGTCAGGATGGGGAGGAGATCTCAAGCCAGCAGGCCCTGGCGAGGAAGGCCATCTACAACTATGTCCATGAGGTGTCCAGGGGGAGCTCTGGGAATTTCTCCTGTGGGTACGAGATCAAGGACAGCAAGAATCAAGTGAACAGATCTCAGCTCAGCCCTGCCCAGCACCTCAGCAGCACTGGTAAGGGGGGTGAACGGGAGAGCGATCTGAGTTCTCCGTGCAGAGACAGAGAGAATACAAAGACAGTTATGGGATGGGGATGTTGGCAGAAGTGGGTTGTTATCCTCCATGTGTGCATGGCTGTGTCTGGAGACACGACAGCTGTATTGTTGGGGGCGGGGGTCACACAACTGTTAGTGAGACAGCGTGGGGAGTGGAGCAGAGCTCAGTATATAAAACTGGCACAATCCCTCTGAGAGGCAAGGAGACAATGTGGATGAAACGGGAGTTTGCCGCTTTGTTCCAAGCTCTACTTCAGATGCACTTGTCCGACCCTTTGTTGTCCGGACAAAGGGCGAATGACGCTTGTCACCCACCGCGCAGGACTGGGGGCTCTTGGCTGGCGTCTGGGGCAATGAAATGCTCAGGGGATGCAAGAGCTGGGCCCAGAGCGCCAGGTGAGACGTGCATGACCCCACCCCCAGCTTCGACATGGAGTGACAGGGCTGCCAGATGCGGGTGGAGTGTGCAACTCTAACAGGTCTAAGGGAACCGGAGGGAGCCCCTTTGGGGAGGTTCCACCCAGGACAGAGCCCTGTCCCATGGGACTTGTGCAGGGCTGGGCTCAGCCATCGCAGCCGCGTCTCTCACACACTGATTGTCACCTGGTGGCGCCGATGGGCCCAGATTCCCCTTATCTCCTGGCACAGGCAGGCGAGCAGGAGAGCCGAGGAGTCAGACCCCCCAGCTTTGACAGCTCCTGGGCCAGACCCTGGGATCCAAGCCCAGCTCTGCCCTCTCCCACCCAGCTCTCCCCTCGCTGCATAGAGACTCTGGGCCAGACGCACCCCTGGGGTAACTCCTCTGCAGCACTTACACCAGGACAGCCCCAGCTCTCTGCGGGGAACCCATCCTGTGCAGAGGGGCAGCCCCAGGGCCAGGCAGCACGTAACTCCCCTGAGCCCTCAGCACTGGGCATGAGCAGAGCCTAGGCCTGGTGCTGCCCCAGGCTCAGGGCGGCTGGTAAATGTCGCCCCCGCACACGGCCCATCACACAGCCCGCTCTGCCCGCCAGGCTGAGTCTGAAGTGGCGAAACTGAGTGCCAGGTGAGCCCCAGGCTGTCTGAAGGGAGAAGGGTCTCCCCGCATTCAGCTCCACAGACAAGTGCAGCTGAGTGGGGGGCAAGGAAGTCTTAGCTCAGGGCTGTTTGGGGCATTTTCATTCTGCAGGACTTTGCATCAGTGAGGTGCCGGGTTGTTCAACGGACAGTGACGTCCTGGCTGGGTCGGCCGTGGGGAGACTGGGTGTGAGAGACAGAGCGAGAGAGTCCAGGGACCAGCTACTTGGCTGGTGTAAACTGGCGAGTCCTATGGACTCCAATAGAGGGAGGCCAATTTACACTCACTGACCAGTAACTCCAGTAGAGCAATGCTGATTTACACCCGGTGGGGCTCTGGCCAACAGCTGGCAGAACAATACCACTGCCTGTCACTGGGAGTTGTGTCTCTGCGGGGGCTGCAGGCGTCTCTCCCACACGGTGCGAATCTCTTTGTCCTTGTCACACAGGCGGCGGGAGCAGCAGGGGAGGAGGCAGGAGCAGAGGAGCCGACCCACCCAGGTAACGGGCGATTGCTCTGTCACACCCTGGTTAGCAGAGCCCGGCTCTGTGCCCCCAGCCCCGCCCTCAGGGCACAAAGTCTGGGGCAAACTCTGGGGCAGGTACCTCCTCGGCCTGCAGCTCAGTGACCCCGGCTGGGCTGGGCTGGGCTCTGCCGGTGCCGTTCCCCCAGGGCAGAGGGCAGCACGGCCCCTGGTATCGCTCACGTCCCACGTCCACCCTCTCCTGAGCACACAGCTGGTGTTAGGGCCTTGTGCTGCCCTCTGCCCAGTGCTGGATTGCCCACGTGGTGAACTGCCAGCCGCACTGGGGAGGAGTGATAGGGTCTGAGATGTTTCTGGCTCTTGTGAGGCCTTTGCACAGGGTCCTGGTGCTTCCTGAGGAAATCTGAGCGGTTCCTGCTCCTCCGACCCCTCAGGGCTGAGCTGGGCAAAGGGAGGAGTCTCCCCAACAGCCTCCATCACTTAAGCCTCCCAGCTGGGAGCCAGGCCTCCGGGAGCTCACACAGGGTCCCCATTACACAGCAGCTACCCTGGGCCTAGTGCAGCATCAAATGCTGCTTTGAACACGGCCCTCACCAAGTCCTTTTCCATGTTGCAGGGCCGGCCATGTCCCTCACCATCTGGGCCACCCGCTGCAGCCTGGTCCTGCTCCTCCTTATGTCTGCGCCCGTCATCACCTTCGTGCTGGAGAAACGGGGCCTGCCCAATCCCAGGGGGCTGGAGAAGACTCCTGAGGAGAGCAGCAGCATCATGTGGGGGAGAGGGACTCAGAACCCCACAGAGGTGGGAGCCGGGGAGGTACCAGTGCCCAGCTCTGAGCACACTATGGTCAGTGCTGCACAATAGGGCCCTGCAGTGACCATCTTTGTCCAGGTAACTCCAGCAGCCTCCTTCAGTCCCCTTCCCTTCCCCTGTCAGGATCACTGTCTGTTGCTCTGCCCTTCAGCCTGCAGCCCTCTGCTCACTGCCAGCCAGGCCAGGGCCATATTGACCTCTGTCAGAGCTTGGCCCTACCACAAACTGTGTCAACCAGCCAGCCAGCCCAGCCTTGCTCCTTCCCATCTTTACAAATAATCCAGAGATGCCACAAGTTTAGACAAGCTGAGATCCTGGTTAAACTGCTAAGTTAAGACTTCTGGGTGACTGGGGTCAAGTCCCAGCTCTGCCACTGATTCCCTGGGCTTCTCACTTCATTTCTCCTGACCTCAGTTCCCCATCTGTGAAATGGGAACAATAATTCTGCCTTTCTAAAGGGTGAATTTTCAAAGCCCCACAGGGATTTGGAAACAAAAGTCTGTGACTGTTCTCTGTGACCACTGGCTTATGCACTTAAATCCCTCAGGTGATTCTGATAATCTCCTCCTTAGATTGTGAGTTCTTCCGGGTGGGGACTGTCTCTCACTAAAGCTCTGTCTACACTATAGCCCTTTTAGGGAAAAAGCTCCGCAAATTGTGTTGCACAATTTGTGTAGCTTTTTCCGATTGCTTTTCCAGAAGGGGCTTTTCTGACATTTGGCTCAATGTAGACGGGGCAAAATGGCGGAAAAGCCTCCTCTTTCAGAAGAGCCCTTATTCCTTGTAGAGCGAGGTGTGAGGTAGTGTTGGTACCTTGCTGGTTGCTAGGCTTGGGCTGTGGGAGACCCACACTGGTTGCTGTCTGTACCACAGCCCAGCAGAGTAGCTGATGGGTCAGGGAGGTAACCTGTTCTACTGGTTACCTCCCAGGGAGAGGAACAAAGGACGGAAGATGGAGTGCAGCCCCTGGCTGGGGGGCAGAGCTGGAAATTGGGTGGTTTCTTTCTGGTATCATGGAGGAAGCAGCCTAAGCACGGGGCTGGGATTTAGGGGCCCAGTCTCCCCTATCTCAAGAGGGGCTGAGGCATCCTAGGCCTGGCCCTGTAACCAGATTACATGTGTGCTATGCTGTATCCTGGAAAAGCAATAAACTCCCTCTATTCTACTGGCTGGTGGAGTCTGTTCATGCCACTACAGGGGTGCAGGAGTTGGGAAACCCAGACGCGATGTCCCACGAGGTATACAGGGCTCCCTGAAAGAGCACATCTGCTCTTCCACAAAACAAAGTGGAGGAGTAGACACATTCCCTGGACATGGCAGTGCAGACATAGCCTAAAGCTTTGTTTATCCCAAGCATTCAACCTGTAAACTGGTTTAATTGAACAACTACAGTTATCCTGGGATAAGGGGGGCTCTCTTATTCCAAATCAGAGAGCCTTGGCAGGGTTACACCACTTTCAAAGTGATGTAAGTGTGACATTCTGTACCTCCATGAAGCACCCCTTCTTCACCACTGTCATGTCATTTTGTTACTGTTGTACACAGCCCGCCTTGTGAGCTATCGTTTTAGATTGTGATCTGTTGAATATTAATCTCCTGTTGGATTGGTGTCACTGCTATCACTGTGTGTGAGGTTATGAGGCATTGCTTTATGCTACTGAAATATGTAGGGAGGGAGATGCCCAAAGCCAGCCATTTAGTAAGGACAGAGGAACAGCCACCAATGTCTTGACAGACATTAATGGCTCATCAAGACCCTGACTTCTTAGAGAAGGCACCTGTACCATAGAGGTGAACCAACCCAGGCCACCACAAGAACCTTTCTAACAGCTGAAAGAAAATATCAAGAAGGGAGAGGGACCTCCTCACTTGTCCTCTCCCTCCTCCCCCACACCTCCACACCTGGAAGACAAAGACTTTGCACTGGGGAAGAATGAGCCTAGGCTGGAGGGAGGCGCAATCTGTGAACTGACGAACCACAAGATGCTTGTACGATTGTTAGGCTGAGACTGTTTGATTCAAATCTTGTTTAGTCTGATCAGGCTAGAATTTAGACTGTGATCATGTTTGTGTTGTAGGTAACCCTCTTTGATCTCTGCACATGCTACTTAAAAGCTAACTTTCTGGAGTTAGTAAATCTGTTTCATATTTTACCTACAACTGTGTGGTTTGGTTGGAGTGCTTGGCAAATCTCAGCTCAGATTGCAAAGCTTGGGGCATTCCACTTTCCTACGAAGAGGTGTCAAACTTATTAAAAGTTACACTGTCCAATAAAACCTTGAGCAATGTAAAATGATATATTGCTGGGGCGTAGGGGCTGGGAGCCAGGGGGAAATGGCTGAAGCCTCCCCACTCAGGGTACATGAGTACCTGGCCCTGACCCTTGGCAATCGAGGTTGGTGGGTTTGGAAGGCTCAGAGATCCCATAATCCAAGTTGCACCCCGGGGTCCCTGTCACTATAAGCTAAATTGAACAACGCCCCTCATACACTGGAATAAGAGTATCCCCATGGGAAGTCTTTGGTGGGTTATCTAGACCAGTATCATTCGGTTGGTCAATTTTCCCACGCCAACCAGCTCCTAGTGTCTGTGCAGCACCTGCACAAAGGAGTCTGACCTTGGCTGGGGTCCGCTGCTGGTTCCAGTTATATAAATAATAATAGCAAAATGCAATTGGGCTCAGTGGGCAGGTGTTGAACAAGGAGTTAAGGTCTCTGCTCCTGCTTTGATATTTCATATCCTAGTTGGGTATTCTTCTGTCTCCAGTTGAACCTTGGGATTCAGGTGTTAGACTGTTAGTGTAAGTGTAACACATTTGCCTAAGAGAGAGCTATCTCTGTAGATGATCTAGAGAAAAGGAATTGTGTCTGGGGCATTTGTATTAAGCAGATGAACAATTGACACTGCAGACCCAGAAGTTTTTGAAACTGAATTAGTAGTTTTGGGCATGCTCCGCAGACCACACGGTCCCTGTAGCGGAACTCACGAACTCCATTGAAAGCAAGTAGTCAGGGCAGCTGTTTTACTAAAAACCACATGATCTGCATGGGCTGGGACAAGCTCTGTCACAGGAACAAAAAGCAACAAGCTCTTTTCTTCTTGGTCTGACTTACTTTGCGCAGGGTAGTGCAGCTGTTAACTTCCTAACAGAGATTCATGAGCGGCATTAGTCATAAAAAAGAGAGGGAGAGGACAGAGAGCAAACTAACTTCTTTCGTTTTAAATTCTATACCTTAAATATTATTTAATCTTTGTCAAATTTTCTTAACAACTCTGGTTTACCAGCTCTGGTCTTATTTACATCTAATAATAAAGAAAAATCATCTATATGTTGGTGTTATTAGTTGTGTATTTTTTCTCATTTATGAACTTAGTACTCATTGATTAGTTAATTAGATAACTAAGTAAAGTACAGCAGAGCAGAAAAAGTCTGCATGAGTTCTATTTAAAAACCACTGTCAGCAAGAGAAAAAATATTTGCGAAGTTGTGATGGTGCGTTGGGGTTTTCCTGTCTCCTGCACCCCCATAGTGGCACGAACAGACTCCACCAGCCAGTAGAATAGAGGGAGTTTATTGCCTCTCCAGGATACAGCACAGCACAGATATAATCTGGTTACAGGGCAGGCCTAGGATGCCTCAGCCCCCCTTGAGATGGGGGAGCCTGGGCCCTTAAATCCCAGTCCATTGCCTCAGCTGCTTCCTCCATGATACCAGCCAGAAACCTACCTAACTCACTTCCCGTCCTGCCCCCTCCCACTCCCCTTCTTCCCATTGTTCCGCTCCCTGGGAGATAACTGGTCAGACAGGTTCAAAGCCCCCTTGCATAATGACTCATCCCTGCCCTGCTGGGCTGTGCTGCAGCCAGCAGCCAGTGGAGGTCACCCACAACCAAAGCCTAGCCACCAGCAAGGTACCCCACACTACATCACAGAAGTGCTTTTCATTCAACAAACTATATAAAGTTAATACACAAAAGCTGTGTCTACACTGGCCACTTATTCCGGAAAATCAGCTGCTTTTCTGGAATAATTTGCCAGCTGTCTACACTGGCTCCTTGAATTTCCAGAAAAGCACTGATAATCTAATGTAAAATCGTCAGTGTTTTTCCGGAAAAACTATGCTGCTCCCATTCGGGCAAAAGTCCTTTTCTGGAAAACTGTTCCGGAAAAGGGCCAGTGTAGACAGCAGAGATTTCTTTTCCGCAAAAAAGCCCCGATCGCGAAAATGACGATCGGGGATTTTTTGCGGAAAAGCGCGTCTATATTTGCCACGGACGCTTTTCCGCAAAAAGTGCTCTTCTGGAAAAGCATCCTGCCAATGTAGATGCGCTTTTTCCGAAAATGCTTATAACGGAAAAGTTTTCCGTTATAAGCATTTCCAGAAAAGGGTGCCAGTGTAGACATAGCCAAAGATTGTAACTAAAACACGAGTGAATGCGATCCAAGCTTTTAGAACTATAAGTAACTTCTCACTGAAAACTAGCCTATTTCAATTTTTTTTATTCATATGCAACTAAAATATCTAAATTATAGCCTTGTTATTTAGCAAACACTAAGCTATTACTATTATCAGTACAAAATTTACAAATTTAATTCCTTAACAGTTATAGTTATCCTTTTGTTCTTTTTAAACTTGTAAAAAAAAAAAAAAATTAACCCATTGCAATTCTTGCAAACCCATTGCAAATCTTTTTAACACTCCATGTTCTCTTACTCCATCTTGCTGATTTTTTGTGCATATGTTTTCATGTCCAGACCTGGAGAACAGCTCTGAGAAATCTCTGACACTTGTCTCCCCCACCAATAGAAACTGGTGCAATAAAGGTGTTACCCTCACATGGTCCCCATCTATTTATTCAAGGTACACATCGATGCTGCCATCTAATGACCAAAGCTATAATTGCAACTCTGCAAAACCAGACTGCAGGGAGACACTGCTGAGCTGAACGTTGTACTTCTGTATTCTGTACCTCAGTGGTCTGAACTGTCAGTGGCAGCGTCATCTGGTCCGAATAGTCCTGGTGCGCTCCTAACAGGACCTCTACTCCATCAGTGATGATAAACTTTCGGCTGTGTAACAATCGGTACTCCCTTTATCTAGAGTATTAGACTGTGTACTTCGGTCAACACAAGAGATCTCTAAGAGGACTTGGAAACGACAGATGCAGGCAAGCTTTGAAATCAATCGAGCAGATTTATTGTCAAATGCGAAACTCTACCAGTTGGTAACAGAGATCAGTACAATGTTACACCACTGGGCACTATGGCCTGCGTTGACAAGGTACCAACACCGGGCAGGCCTATTGCCATAAAACAGATATTAACAGCAGTTAGTCAAAATTAAGCTATTGCGCACTCTGTAAGTTTAGGCAATGACACCTGCCGTTCAGGCACCTAGTGCCCCCCCCTAAGGTCGGCCGGAGAGCAACCTTTGTGGTGCTTTTTATAGGCAGGTACAAACAACTTACATCATTTCTTTACGTACCAGGTTACCACCCTCTGTTGCCTAGATACCACCCTTCACCTTATGCAAGGGGGACTTGCCTTCTATTTGTCATCCTGTTAGTTCTGACCTGGTCCTGAACCTAGGTTGGTATGTATCTAACTCCTAGGGAGTTCTTGTACCAGGACATTCCTTAAGATGTTCCGTTATTCCCTTTTGGCGTACAGTCTGTACTTGGGGCCTCCCTGTGTCCTTCCCAACTTACACAATTACACAGTTATCAGCAGGGCCTCTTTATTGGCTCCTGTGTTCCTGAACCAAAGTCTTGCTCACTAAATTTCAGGCCTGTTGCTGTTTGTAGGTCACAGGCCTCTATTCAGGCCTGCTGATTCCATGTTACCGACCCTCAAATTACTACATATTGTCATATGCAAATTTGACACCCTGAAACAAGGTTTCAATGGATGGCGCTCACATTACAATAAGTAGTTTCCCTTTCAGGTACTTTCACTTACTCATCACTGTTGGAGATTAGCCACGTCTACTCTGATTTAATTGCACTGTTGTTGTACTCCAATCTCTGCATTCCTTCCTTCTCTGTTTTCTTCTCTCTTAAGCATCTGAGGAAATGAATTGTAGCTCATGGAAACTTATGCCTTAATGCCCTAATAAAATTGCTAGTCTTTGAAGTGCCACCAGAGACTCCTTGTTGTTTTAATAAAGGTGATTAATAAAGATATTGAACAAAACAGGTCCTAGAACGGAACCTTGACGCACTCCGCTAGAAACTGACCGCCATCCTGACATCAAGTCGTTGATCACTACCCGCTGGGCCTGACCTTCTAGCCAGCTTTCTATCCATCTTATCGTCCATTTATCTAATCCACATTCCCTTAACTTGCTGGCAAGAATATTGTGGGACACCGTATCAAAAGCCTTGCTAAAGTCAAGGTATATCACATCCACTGACTTTCCCCTATTCACAGAGCCTCATCATAGAAGCTAATCAGATTGGTCAGGCATGACTTGCCCTTCATGAATCCATGCTGACTATTCCTGATAACTTTTCCCTCTTCCAAGTGCCTCAAAATGGATTCCTTAAGGATCCCTTCCATGACTTTTCCAGGGACTGAGGTAAGACTGACTGGCCTATAGCTCCCTGGATCGTCCTTCTTCCCTTTTTTAAAGATGGGCACTACATTTGCCTTTTTCCAATCATCTGGGATCTCTCCCGATCTCCACTACTTTTCAAAGATAATGGCTAAAGGCTCCTCAATGACATTTGCCAAATCCCTCAGTACCCTTGGATGCATTAAATCTGGACCCATGGATTTATGTACGTTTAGGTTTTTTTAATAATTCCTAACCTGTTCCTTATCCACCAAGGGCTGTCCATGTTCATCCCATATCTTGCGTCGCTTAGCTCATTAGTCTGGGAGCTGACCTTGTCTGTGAATACAGAGGCAAAGAAAGCATTGAGTAATTCAGCTTTCCCCACATCATCTGTCACTAGGTTGCCTCCTTCATCCAGTAGGGGCCGCACACCCTCTCTGATCACTTTCTTCTTGTTAACATGCCTGTAGAAACCTTTCCTGTTACCCTTCACATCCCTTGCCAGTCGCAATTCCAATTGCTGCTTTCGTCTTCCTGATAACCCCCTGGCATTCTCGAGCTACACATTTATACCCCTCCTTGGTCATTTGTCCAAGTTTCCACTTTTTGTAAGCTCCCTTTTTATGCTTCCTTGTAGTTGTCTACCTTTTGCATTCCTGGCTGATCCCAGGTTGTCCTCAGTGTTGCAAGGCTGTGTCTCCTTAGTGGAGTAGCACAAGCAGACAGAGAATCTGGAAGGATCTGGATCAGGCACAAGTTCCTACTTTGAAGTAGGAATAAGAGATCCTCCGGAAAAGGGCTTTATTCCGGAGGATCGCGCCAGTCTAGACGCTTTTTTCCGGCTTTTCCCCAAGCCGGAAAAAAGCGGCGGCCATGTTTATTTAAATCCGCGGGGGATATTTAAATACCCCGCGGATTTCCCTTTTCTGAAGTTGGAAATTAGCATGCCTCTTCCGGAGAAGGGGCCAGTCTAGACGTAGCCGTTATGTTTTAGTAAAAACCACTGACAACACACAATATGTTTTCCACTGTATAAACACAAATGTCTTTAACACAATTGTATCTAAGGGTATATCTACAGAGTGGTGTCTTAACAGCACACCCGTTATTTCAAAATAGTTTTTAAATAACAGGAGTCTTATTCTGGTTTCCAGTAAATCTCATTGCATGAGGAATAAGGAATATGCTGGAATAGCATCAGATTTTGAAACAGGACATCTTGAATTAAGCTGTATAGCTCAAATTGTGTAGCTTATTTTAAGCTACACGTGATTGTGTAGATGTACCCCATGTCTCAGAGGTGTAGCCATGTTAGTCTGTAACTTTAAAAAAATGAGTAGTCCTGTAGCACCTTAGAGACTAATAATAATAATAAACTAATATATAAAGGAGAATGTTTGTAAGTTTGTGCTCTAATAACTTGGACACTATGGGTACGTCTAGACTACAGGCTTTTGTCGACAGAATTTTTGTCGACAGATACTGTCGACAAAACTTCTGTCGACAAAGAGCGTCTACACTACATTCAGTTCTGTCGACAAAGCAAGCTGCTTTGTCGACATGGTAGTGTAGACGCAAAGGACAGTTTACATGCAATAACACCTTCTGTCGACAGAAACTCTGTCGACAGAAGGCGTTATGCCTCGTAAAATGAGGTTTACCAGCGTCGACAAAACTGCTGAGTTCTGTCAACGTTATGTCGACAGAACTCAGCGGTAGTGTAGACGCAGGTATAGTTTTGTCGACAAAAGTCCACTTTTGTTGACAAAACTCTGTAGTCTAGACACACCCTATAAGAGCTACCACAACCAAACTTTTCATGGGATTAACTTTTCCTCCAAGTTTCCAAGGTTTTAAGGTACTGTGGGAGGGCACCCTGCTCCTCCCCACCCTTCCCCCGCCACCTCTCTCACTGCCTGCCTGTGCCCCACACAGACAACACCCTGCTCCTCCCCACCCTTCCCTTGCCAACTCCAAAAC